CTAGCACAAAGGAGATCTAAAAATACCTTCCTAGGTTATGTCTCTAAACAGTAGATTTTACACACACACACACACACACACACTCACATATACACATTCCATGCTAAGATAACGCATGTTACTCCTTTAATGCCTGCACTTTGTTCTGTCTCCCAGAGTGTGTGCTCCTTGATTTCTCTTAATAAAATCATCTGTCTCATTTTGCCTGTTCTTAAATTCCTTTCTGCAGCATCATAAAGAACCCTCATGGCTGGGTATGGTGGTGCACATTTGTAATCCCAGTGGTTCAGGAGGCTGAGGGACGAGCCTCAACAACTTAGTGAGTCCCTAAGCAACTTAGTAAGACCCTGTCTCAAAAAATAAAGGGACTGGGGTCTTGGCTCAGCGGTAAAGTGCTTTCCTATCACGTAGGAGGCACTGGGTTTGATCTTCAGCACCATATAAAAATAAATAAATAAAGGAATAAAAATAAATAAATAAAATAAAGGTGTTGTGTCCAACTACAACTACAAAAAATATTAAACAAAAATAAACAAAAATATTAAACAAAAAATAAATAGGGCTGGGGATGTGGCTTGGTGGTACAGTGCCCCTGGGTTTAATCCCAAATACCAAAACAAATAAACAAATTAAAAAAGCAAAACAAAAACCTCATAGCCAGAGTCTGGGTTCATCTCCTTTGGGGACCACCTCAAGACCTCCATTCTAGTGACAGAGCTGTCCTCAGATTTCGCTGGGATATTCTGTCATCTGCAGTTCCTGTTCTTTCTTACAAGGCTGATAGAGCAGTCAGCCTATCAGCCTTGTAAATGGATACAATACCTTTTTTATTATTTTTAAATTGTTGATGGACACAACATCTTTATTTTGTTTGTTTATTTTTATGTGGTGCTGAGGATCGAACTCAGGGCCTCACATGTGMGAGGCAAGTGCTCTGCCACTGAGCCACCCCAGCCCACAATACCTTTATTATTTATTTATTTACTTTTATGTGGTTCTGAGGATTGAACGTCAAGTCAAGCGTGTAAAGCAAGTACTCCACCACTGAGCTACAACCCCAACCCCCTTTTCCCTTCTTTACAATAGCTTCCTTAAGTCCATCTCTCCAATTGTTTGGAGCTGTTTGGGATTTTATTCCTGGTCTCTTTTTTTTTTGAAATTTTTTTAATATTTATTTTTTAGTTCTCAGACACAACATCTTTGTTTGTATGTGGTGCTGAGGATCGAACTCGGGCCGCACCGGGCCACAGGCATGCCAGGTGAGCGCCCTACCGCTTGAGCCACATCCCCAGCCCTATTCCTGGTCTCTTTACTTCTTCCTCTCCCTCCTTCCTGGGGTCTCTGTAAAGTGCTATTGATCCTTTCAGCACTCCCCTTTGCCTCTGCATTCCTCTCCCCATGAGATCTCTGACTTTCCCCGCCCCGCCCCCCGCCAAGTCTCTCCCTCATGGAGCCTGGAAATCCCCACCTTCTTCCAGCAGTGAGGGTGACTGACTAGGCTCCTGATCTGTGATTTCATGCAAGGGGGGAAGTAGTGGTGAAGGAGAAGGCAGGGATGTGTTCCTGGTGATTCTGTTCCCACCCCAGAGTCCACTTCACCCTGGGGCCCTGCCCAGCCCTGGACACCAAGGTCCCTCATGGTCACCAGATGAGAGCTCCCTGCAGAGACAGGGAGCTCTCATCTGGTGACCAGAATTGAGTTTCATTCCACTTCTTTCTAGGCAATGCCTGGGCAAGGCTCTTAACWTTCATAGGCCTGTTTCCTTGTCAGCAAAATGAGGGCCAGGACAAGAAATTGTATGAGGGGCTGGGGATGTGGCTCAAGCAGTAGCACGCTCGCCTGGCATGCGTGCGGCCCGGTTCGATCCTCAGCACCACATACCAACAAAGATGCTGTGTCCGCCGAAAACTAAAAAATAAATAATAAAAAAATAAAAAAGAAATTAAAAAAAAGAAATTGGTATGAGAATCACTTCAAGGCTCTCAGCGAGGACAGCTGAATGGCTGGGCACCCTACTAGGGTTGAGGATACAGAAAAAGAGACAAGCAACCCCCAGTGGTAGTGGCAGAGAGTGAAAAAAAAGAATGAGATGCAAGGGGGGCACCCAAGGAAGAGGAAAGAAAGGAGGGGGTTAGGGGGGCTTCCTGGAAGATGATGGGGCATCTAAGTAAGGGGAAATGAGTTGGTGGAGATGGAGCCACAGGCTCAAGGACACTAGCAATGGGCTGGAAATAACAAATGGGAGAAGATCAGGAAGGGCCCCATCAATGTTGGGGGTGTTGAAGGATTCCAGGATACAAAGGTCCTGTGGTTTTAGGATGAAGAATGGGTTGGTTGGGGGTGGGGGTGATACTGGGCAGACAGGCCAGGCTAGAGATGGTGAGAAGATGTAGGTTACAAACAAGGGGCAGCTGCCACCTCCGGGGTGGGGACAGGGCTGAGAGCTGGAATGGCCTCCAATCTCAGACTGGTGAGCAGTTACTAGTGAGGTGGAAGGAACGGGCAGTATGACTGGAGGGGCTGGTGTGAGCTGCTTTGAGGATGGCTGTGCCTTTTATCTGGAGAGAAGATAACCAGAAGGAGGTGATGGTGAAGGGGTGAGCTCAGTCTGAGATCCACTGGTCTGCAATGTCAGCAGCTCCCCCTGAAGACATAGAGTGACCTCTTATACCAGAATTAAGCACAAAACAGGACAGTGAGAAGCCAGTGAGCAAAGCTGCCCCACTGATCCTGCAGAGAAAACAATCTCTCCAACTTCCCAGCCTTGTTATTTCCACCGTACTGGGGTTATGCACACTTTATCAGTGTCTCTGTGTTTGACTTCCCTGAAGATGGACAGTATTGTCTTTCCTTGGACTGGACTCAACCCTCACATGCTGCTTCTTCAGCCCCTAGTCAGGGTTATCTCCCTGGCCTAGACTGTCTGGCTGTACCTAGTCTGCTTGGAGATGCAATGCTCACATTGAGAGCTGTCAGGACTGGAAAGCTGCTGGTGAGGGCAAAATGGCATGTTGGGGGATAAAACCACAGGGAAGATGAGATCACCTAGGGAAAGGGCAGAGCCTGTAAGGGTCTTGGGAACACCTGGGCCTTGCAGTGACACTGAGGCTAAACGGCCTGGACCTGTCTTTCCTCCAGCTTCTGACTCCAGGAAGAATTAGGGCTGCAAACCTGTAGGAAGTGAAGAGAGAGAAGGGAGGGGGCAGAGAAGTGGGCAGTTGGGAGAATAACACAGAGGCCCACTTGGTTGGCCTGACCACTGTTTTCCTATTTAAGAGAAATGGTGGTCACTATGACCTTGGCCAGAGTGAGAAGCTGTAGAGGGAAGGGGATGTGAAGAGGTGGAAACACACAGTGAAGATTCCTCTTTTGAGAAATCAGAGTCATTTGAGAAATGGGGAGGTAGAGGAAGGGCTTCTAGTTGTTCTCTGTAGTTTCTTCTCTGAAACAAAATATACTGGGTTTGTGGCTCAATGGTAGAGTGCTTGCCTTGCATGTGGAAGGCACTGGGTTCGATCCTCAGCACCACATAAAAATAAAGGTATTGTGTCCACCTACAACTAAAAAATATTTTTTAAGTACATCTTTTTTAAAAAAATATATTTATTTATTTTATTTATTTATTATGTGGTGCTGAGGATGGAACCCAGTGCCTCACATATGCGAGGCAAGCACTCTGCCGCTGAGCTATATCCCCAGCCCTAAAAAATATTTTTAAAAAATACACACACACACACACACACACACACACACACACACACACACACATATACTTCGGTACTTTAATGGGCACCAAGTCCAGAGGGTGATAGACCCAGTCCAGCCAGGAGGAAAGGAGCCCCAGGGAGGTTCCTGTTGTGGAAGGTGGGGCTGAGAATTCAGCAGGAAGGCCAGGATGGGAAGGTGACTCCACTGCCTACATGGAGAAGTTTGCAGGTGGCACCAGGCCACTTACAGAGCTCTGATCTCAGGATGTGGGCTTGTGGGCTGTGGCTAAAGGGAGAACTGGCCAGGTGGCAGCTGCTTCAGGATCCTTAAAGGAAAGGAACTAAAAAGGCACAGGGCAGCCAGATCTGGCTGGTGGAGAAGAAGCACTAGTTGAGGTGCTCCGGCTGTCACAGGGCATCAGCAGGGCAGGGCCAGCCTGCCCTGATGGAGGAACCCTCGTCCTCCAGGACTTGCTCCAGAAAGAAGAGAGGCTTTGCATGGTTGGGCTTTGAGTGGACATGCAAAGGACCTGGACGCCAGAAGGTAGAAACACAAAATGAAGATTCCTCCGGACACCAGAACGTTCAGAAATTCGGAGGACACCAAAAGGGCTTTCAACCCGTCATGCCTATATCTTGAGGGGTGGAGACACCCTCAACTGATATCTGGGTCGCTAAAGCAAGAAGGGTAGATAGGACTTAATTTTTTTCTAGGAATCTAGGAGTGAAGTCATCAACTACTGGAWAAGATGATTATGGGGTCTGGATGAGCCTGGGGACGGGTGGTGCGGGAAGAGAGAGAGGCTTCAGCCACAGGCCAGGACTTCACAGGTGGGATGGGGGCTTTCCTGGGGCCTGGAGCATAGGAGGCCGGCCGCCGGCACTCGAAATTTCTTTGATTCATTTGTTCGAAGAGACCGAGGGCCAGCGCGGCGCTCCAAGGAGCCTGGCCCTGCCACGGGGTCCTGGCGGGAGAAGCCTGGAGTGGGGCTCCACCACTGGAATGCCAAGAAAAGCGACGAAGAAAAAAACCTAACACCTGCGGGCGGTGCGCAGCCGCAAGGGAGGCGGGGCGGAGAGACCCCGCCTTGTATGCTAATGAAAGCACCCAGCCCCGCCCCGGCCCGGGGGTCGGACGGACCCAACGCTGTGGGGTTTGGAGGGCGCCGGCGCCGGGCAGTGCGCCCACGAAGGCTGATGCGGGGCGTGGAGTCGGGGCTGGGACCAGTGGGCTAGCGGCACAGCCTTGGGGCGGTCAGCGGCCTCCCAGGCGTCCGAAGCCACGGCTCCTTCACAGGCGCGAAGTGGTACGGCCCTGAGGGGGCGGGGACAGGATCATGTGACCAAGCTGCGGCCGCCATTTTGCTCTGCGGTGCTGGTATTTAGAGCGCAGCGGCTGACGGGCCAGGTCGCCTTCGCTCGCCTCTGCGCCCGCTCGTCGGTCTGCTGTTTTCACCTCGCCGCGGCCCGCTGAGCTCGCCCCCCGCCCCGCCCGCAGACATGTCCGAGACCAAGAACAGCCCCGAGTATGCTTCGTTCTTCGCGGTCATGGGCGCTTCGTCCGCCATGATCTTCAGCGGTGAGCCCCGCGGCAGGCGGGGTCGGGCGGGGGGCGCCGCGGGACTCCTGCCCGCAGCGCACGGGGGGCCGGCGCGTGATTTCACTCTGACGCAGTCCGGGCTGTCTGGGGTGCCCGGCCTCACGCGACTGCGGGCTGGGGTCGGGTCCGAGGGCGGCGGGGGCCATGGGGTGTCTGGGGCGCAGGGTGTGCGTGCTTGTCTAGATGCGAGTCTTGGGGGTCCCCGGATTCCGGCTGACGGCCCTACCAGCCAAGCTGCGGTGCGGGGGTGGGGCAGCGCCGGCGCCGCTGCCATCTTAGCCCCGGGAGGCGGGAGGGGGGCTGGGGTGGGGGCGCAGGGGGCGGTGCGCGGTCTTGCGACTGCTCCGCACCCCGCATTCAGCGGGCAGGTGTGACATCACACCTCGGGAGGCTCCGGTCTGTGGGCGGCGGCTGCCGCCCCGAGTGCGCCCGGGAGGAGAGTCCCTGGCCTCCTGGCCGGCGGGACACTCCGTCTCGCCAAGGTCCACAGCCCTCGCCACAAAGGCGGCCGGGGTCAGGTGGTCCGTATCCTGAGGCAGGTCCTTCCGGTTAGGGCTTGTCGCGGTTTCCCAATTACTCTGTCAGCTATGTGGGTTGGTTGGGAAAGCTGGAAAAGGAGTTGGTCCTGAGAGCCCGCAGAGACGTAGAGGTGGGAGCATTTGCAAATGGGGGCTTCTGGGAGACAGCGCTTGTGTGGACGCTTGCTGAGGGTCTGTGCTTTGACTTGGATGAGAAGGTGGCATGGGGTGCTAGCATTTACAGGATTGGGTCTTTGTTCCTTAGGAGGAATTCTCCAGTTTTGGTTCTTAAGAATGGAGGGATGAATGAATGACCTTCCTCTTTCAGGGCCAGGAATCGGGAGGGGCTGCCCTGGTCATGGAGAAGGAATCCAGCAGAGTTCTTGATGGCACCCTGCTTTGAAGTTGGGCCTTGACAGTACTAGGGGGTCAAATATGGTGAAAACTTGCCCTTCTGGGAGACAGAAGCTTAGACCAAACCTGAGAATGTGGGGCCTAGGGAAATAAGTCAGAGACAGCTACAGTGGACTGGTCTGGCCTGGTTTGCTCCTCTGGTAGGTCTGGTTCTTGGCTAGAGTGGCCCGCCCTGCCCCACCCTACCTGGTGGACTGGGGAGGCTCCCAGTACATGTATGTGGAGGGTTTGAACTCTAAACAGTCTCTGCTGACTGTAAATACTTGTGGGGTGGGGACTTGGGGACCCTGCTGTCTTGGGGGCCTTCCCCTGCCTGGGCCTGTCTGCCAGTCACATGTTGTTGAGTGAGCCCTGCCCTTTCCATCCCCTTCCAGTAAGGGGTCATTTGTGGTGGGAGATGTGGTCTAGACATCTCCTTTGCCAGGATACGCCTGCTGTTCCCACACCTTTAGAGCTTCCCTGAGCTGCATGCTATGCATCTCCCTTAAGCTCCTTGTCCCCAGAATGCCTTAGGAAGTTCTACTACCTTCCACCGCAGCTCTCTGTGGCTATCACTCACTTGTTCAGCAAATCTTGCTCGAGCTCTGCCAGGTATTGGGGTGACATCAGTGAACAACCAAGATCTCTGCCTGAATGAAACTTGCCTTTCAGTTTTCAGGGTGACTTCCAGTGACTYGTGAGTTTTCCCACTGACCTGTTTTTCTGTACCCAGTTCTCTCCCTCTCCATCAAGAACCTGAGTGTACTTTTCTACTGAGCAGTACCAGCAGGTGTCTGTACTTTTTTGAGAACAGGGTATTGCTGGCTTAGGCCTTTCCTGCCTGACCCTGGCTCCTAAGGATTGGTACCTGCATACCTGTTGGCCCCTGTGAATTCTCTTCTGTGTCCTTAGCTCCACTCCTCCCCACATGGAGCTTAACACAGCCCAATGGTGGCTTGCCTCTTCCTTGGCCATTACCTTTTGAATTCATTTCTGCACTCTATTTTTTTTTTTTTAAAGATTTTATTTATTTATTTATTTAGTTCTCAGCAGACACAACATCTTTGTTTGTATGTGGTGCTGAGGATCGAACCCGGGCCGCACGCATGCAAGGCGAGCGCGCTACCGCTTGAGCCACATCCCCAGCCCATTTCTGCACTCTAAAATGTGTCTTTCTCCAAGGTTTGTCTTCATATTCTCTGCTGCCTGGACAAGCCCTCTCTGTCCTTCCATGGCCTTTGGTGTTGCTGTTGGATCAGCATGAAGCTCTCTGCTAGTGTCTGGGTCTTGGCCTGCTTTGCACTTGACTCATTGATTGTTTAATTTTTTTTTTAGTTGTCAATGGACCTTTATTTTATTATTTATGTGTGGTGCTGAGAATCAAACCCAGTGTCTCACACATGCTAGGCAGGTACTCTACCACTGACCTACAACCCCAGCCCGACTCATTGGTTTTTAACCAAATGAGATCCATGCATATCTTTCAGGCCCCCCTCCCCCATTTCACATTCCAGCTTCTCCTTTTTTCTTGTGACAAATATCCTGTTGATTCTTTCTTCATCATGTCTTCCATGAAGCTGCTGGTTGCTCCTTTTCTGTATTTTCAGCGACTTCCTCCCTGGTTTGGTGCTTGTGTTCCAGGAACTGCCTCCTGACCCTGCTCTCTGCCCCACTGCGTCTGGCATTGTTGGCAGGCCTGCCTTTTAAAACTCCATCAGGCTTGGCTTCTTGGACCTGCTGCCACCCAGGCCTAGACAGGTTTTATTTTCTGTAGCTCTGACTTACAGTGGCTATCCCTTTTTCTCTCCCTTGTTCCTCTTGCCCTACCCTCTCCCCAGCCACATGACTTCCCTGCTGTTCTGGGGAAGGGCCCAGCTTACTTCCTGCCTCTTAAGAGTCTCAATACCTAGGGTGCTGAGTTCCCTCTGTTCAAACTCCTCTCCAGTGCCACATGTCAGCCTGTGCTCGCTGTTTGTAACTTGTCCCCAGGGGTGTGAATCCTGGAGGTGCTGGTCTGTTGCACATATGTGATGCAGCCTGACATGGGGCTGGGCCTGCAGAGGGAGCCTCCAGTGCCTCCCCACCAAAACAAAACAAAACAAAACAAAACAAAACACTGTGACCAGAAAAGTTCCAGGAATGGCCTCTTGAAGATGGTCCCAGAGCCCTAGGCTAATGGTGTTACAAATCTTGGCCTGGTAGTATTGGGCATCTCAGGATACCATTAGAGGAAGCAATGTGGTCCATTGTATCCCCGCCCTAGCCTGCTCCCTCCAGTCTTCTCCTTGTCATCTCCACATGTGCTATTATCCTTGCCCTCTGTCCCATCTTCTTGTGATTTCCTATTCACTGTCACTGTTTCCTTCAGAATTGCCTGGTCTGTCATCCTTCCACCCCCTAACCCCACCTTGCTGTCCTGGAGGTGTTGCTGTGTTTGGGTCACTGTTCTGTCTCCTCATCTCTGAAAAGACAGAGCCCTTTGGAATTCAGCTCTTCTCAGTGCTGAAACAAGAGTAGGCTTTTTTTTTGGGGGGGGGGGTGAGGGCGCTAAGAAATCAATAAAATGTTACAAAGGCTGGAATTGTCCTAGTTTCTTCTGCCTCTGACCTGTGTTGTCTCTGTGGTCAAGCCAGTCATTGCTCTCTTCAAAATGAATATARTATGGGCACCCTGGGTAAAGACAGGGCAAAGTATGCCATTGCCACTTGCTCCAGAGGAGACAGGCCACCCCTAGAGTCCAGCTCCCCTATTGCCATGTGTGGGAGGCCTGAAGACCACAGGGAGGGCAGAACTTTCCTGAGTTCTCATGGTCAGGGTGGGTGATGACCCCAGACTCCTGACCTCTTTCCTATGCCTCATCCTCTTTGCTTGCCCTTTCTTTTCCCTGGTTATTTAGGGAGGGTCCTGTCTATCAAGGTCACAGGGCCTGCTGTGTGGCATGGGGTGCTGAAAGCTGCCCTTCCTGGCAAAGCACAGCCCCTCCCAGCCCCCAGTTTTGCTCTGACTTCCAGTTTAGGGGCTGGAGTAGTGGGAAGTTGGGTGGTGAGTCCAAAAGCTCTGGCCTGGAGGTAAAGACTTGCTTATGATCAGCTACTTCTGACCCTGAGGTCACATCCATCAGTAGAAGCTTTAGCCTGCTAGTACTGGGGAGGGGACCTTTGTGTGTGTGTGTGTGTGTGTGTGTGTGCGTGTGTGTGCGCGCGCGCGCGCGCACGCGCGCAGTATTATGAGCATTGAACCCTGGGCCCCACACATGGAGGGCAAGCATTCTACCACTCCGCTCTACCACCCAGCCTAGACTGTGGTGGCTCTTCCAGGGTATTGTCCCTGGGTATTAGCTAAGGACTGATTGGCTACCCTGGACCTGCATCTGGGCTACTGATCAGTGGGACTGGAAATACTGGGACCTAAGGTGGGACAAAGATGCCTAGAACCTCAAGCAAGGCTTTTGGGACCCTAGCTAGGGCTGCCTAAGGTAGCAGGCAGCAGGCTGAGGAGTGCTAGGGAACAGGGCTAGGTGTCACAGCAGAGTAGGAACTCTAGCGGGGCCACAAGGGCTATTGCAGGAGAGAGAGGTGTGGGCACTTAGCCAGAGGAAAGTGGGAAATGGTTCTAACTGTGGCTGTTGCTTCTGGAGGCCCTTCTGCCCCTCTGGTGCTTTCGGCTCCCCATGTGAGTGCTAACTTGGGGAGCCCTCAGCTGTGCTAAAGAGGCCTGCAGGTGGCTCCTGGCTCACCTCACCTCCCTCCTACAGCCCTGGGTGCCGCCTATGGCACGGCCAAGAGTGGCACCGGCATCGCAGCCATGTCAGTCATGAGGCCAGAGCTGATCATGAAGTCCATCATCCCAGTGGTCATGGCTGGGATCATCGCCATCTACGGCCTGGTGGTGGCAGTCCTCATCGCCAACTCCCTGAATGATGGTATTAGCCTCTACAGGTGAGTGTGGGGAGTGCCATGCCTGGTACTGTCTTGCCTTGGTAGGCAGGCTGCTAACGGCCCTGTATCTTTTCTCTCCTCCAGGAGTTTCCTCCAGCTTGGTGCAGGCTTGAGTGTGGGCCTGAGTGGCCTGGCAGCTGGCTTTGCCATTGGCATTGTGGGGGACGCCGGTGTTCGGGGCACTGCCCAGCAGCCCCGGCTGTTTGTGGGCATGATCCTGATCCTTATCTTCGCTGAGGTGCTTGGCCTCTACGGTCTCATCGTGGCCCTCATACTTTCCACAAAGTAGCCCCTCAAGCTCACCAGCCACAGAACACGATGTAAAGACCACCCCCCTCCTCATTCCAGAATGAACAGCCTGACACATGCACGGGCAGCCACCCCCTCCTCCGTAGTTGGTCTTGTAAATGCGCAGTGTCCTAGTGCCCATTGTCTGTTTCCCCGCCTGGCCCCTTCCTCCCCGTGCTGTGGACATTGGGCCCACTCATCTCCCATCCAGGCCCCCGACCAGTGAGGATGCCAGCCTCCAGCCCCCGCCCTAGAGTGCTCTGTGTATAAGGATGAATTAGAGTTGTCATTTTTCTCTTCACTGGATGTTTATTTATAAAAGATTTGACCTGTTCATGCGTCTATGGAGCAACCCAACTATATAGTACCCTTTAGGTAGAGTGTTGCCTTGTGGGGTCCCCCTTGCCGAGACTCCTTGGATGGAACCGCCCCTTGCGCCCGGTGCCCCGGTCGGGGGCAGAACGCCAGCCACTAGGCCCTGGCGCCCAGCTGTGTCCAATAAAGTTCTCGGATGTGTTAGGCCTGTGTCCCAGCGCTTGTGTGGGCGGGGCGGGGCGGGGCAGGCTGGCGCCGCGCGTCAATGCGTCGCGGGTCACGTGGGTGGGGCGATCATGTGGTGCCCGCCCCAGTCAGCTGAGGGTCACATGGCGCGGGGGCCTACCGGCTCCGAGTTGCCGCGGCTCACGATGCGCGGCGGGCAGGGCGCGACGCGGGCTCCGGTGCTCCAGTTCACCAACTGCCGCATCCTGCGCGGTGGCGCACTGCTCAGGTGCGGGGGRCCGGGTGGGGACAGCGCGGTGTGGGGTGGGTTGGGCGACGGGACCGGGACCGGTGGGCAATCTGAACGCCTGCCGCTGTGTGAGCAGGGAGGACCTGTGGGTGCGTGAGGGCCGCATCCTGGACCCGGAGAAGCTGTTCTTCGACGAGCGGCGCGTGGCCGACGAGCAGCGGGACTGCGGGGGCTACATCTTGGCGCCAGGCTTCATCGACGTGCAGATCAACGGTGCGGCCTGAGCCAGGGCCAGGGACGCAGGGGAGGAGCCCCGAGCACTCCGCGACTGCCTTTTTTTCTGGTCCTAGGTGGATTTGGTGTCGACTTCTCCAAGATCACAGAGAATGTGGGATCGGGGGTTGCGCTGGTGGCCCAGAGGATTCTGTCCCACGGTGTCACCTCTTTCTGTCCTACCCTGGTCACTTCCCCACCAGAGATTTATCAYAAGGTGAGGTCAGGCTCCAGGCTTCAAGCAAAAGGGGCGGGGGCGGTCTCTGGAGGCAATCATCCCCTTAACTTTTAAATCTGTTGCTGTTCTCTCTCCAAACACATCGTATGAATCTGAATCTGTTCTCCCTCCGCTTGGGCCTGGGGTGGGGGTCCCCTGGCCTTTATTTATCAGCTGTCCCTCTGCCTTCTAACTGCCTCTGCAGTGCTCCCCACTTTTGCTGTTTCAGCGTCCTCATCTGCCACAGCCCCTCCCTACCCCCACTGCCGKCCTCCAATCCTCCTGGAGCAAGCAAGGTTGCTGGAGACAGAACCATTGCCTGGGGTCAGACTCTATTTCCTGTCTCTGGTGTGTGCCTCACTTGAACATGTCTTCCAGAAAGAGCTGCTCTCCCAGTGTTTCCAGCCTAATTTATCTTACATTTCCCACCCTTCTACCTTTCTTGCTGCTTAGAAGAAATTCCATTGTTCTTGTCTAGTTTTCCTTGGAAGTTTTGTCCTCTGAGCTGTTTCTCCCTGAGTGTGTTGCTGTCCTTTCCAGAACCCTTTGAGAGTAGGTTGCATATGCATGCCTCTGTATCCTTTAATACTTAACTCTTCCTTAAAAACATGGGTGTTCTCTTACACTACCATRACGTGGCTGGTAAATTTAGGAACTGAACACTTTTAACCATGGTTAATTGATCTTGTTCTTTCAGTTTTGTCATTTGCCCCATCTGACTTTTCCTGTACTACAGAATCCACTGCAGAAATGTATGACTGTCTGTGGGTCCCTTTCTGGGTGTGAGCAGGGAGCTGTGGGAGGTTGTGGGGGGGCTCTGAGTTTGGGCTTCCTGGGCCTTGGTCCTGGCCTCCTGTGTTTATTTAGGTATTSGGGATTGAACTCAGGGGCACTCTATCACTGAACTGTACCCCCATCTTTTTTCAAATTTGTGAGACAGGGTTTCACTACGTTTTGGAGGCTGGCTTCCAACTTGTGATCCTCCTGAGTCACTGGGATTACAGGTGTGCACCTGGTGGCCTTCTGACTCTTGTATCAGCCAAAATATTTGGAACAACCTTCTTTATTAACCTTAGTTTCCTCAACTGAAAATAATCTTCGTCTCTCAGGGTCTTTGGATGCTGTGCTTGGTGCATATGAAGCATTTGGTAAATGTCAATTAAGGATGTCTTCCTGGAAATTTTCCACAGCTCTCCAACCACACAAATATCAAAAACCAAACTCAATTGTCCTGCTGCAGTTAGGCATCTGGTTTCCCAGCTGCCTTCTTAGGCTTTGGTCCTTTCCAAGATAACAGGACTCTAACATATCTCTAACATTCCCTTTGTACCTGCTGAACCTGTTCTCTTTCCCCAGGCACATTCCTGTAATTCCAGGTTTCCCCTCTCCTGCCCCCCCAAGCTCTACCTGGAAGGCCTTGTTCTCTTGCTTCCCAGTTGCTTCCTTGCCCTTGCATCACCTGCAGGTCTTTCTGGCATGATGTAGGCACTCTGCCCCAGAGGGAGGACTGGTGAAGAATGCGTGTTTTCTTCTCATCACTCACTGGGTCCAGGTGTGTTACAAACAAGACTCTTCCAAAATGAAAGCCTTGGGCCATCTGCCAATGTTGGAGATTGTGGAGGGTTTGGGATGTGTAAACTTAATACTAATATCATGGAAACCGGAGGACCTTTCCCTCAGCAAGCACCCAGCCTTCCTTCCGGGCCCCTTCACACTGGGTAGAAATGGATTGCGCTTTGCCAGAAGTTAGCCAGGTCTTTTGTTGTTAAAGTCTGATCTGACACCAGCTGCTCCTTTCCTGGGCCTCCTTCAGCCCTGCCTTTTATAAACTGTCCTTCCAGGCAGCAGATCTGTTCACATTATTCTCAGTTTCAAGGGCTTATCTGCTGAGTCAAGGGAGAGTACCTCCTTGCCTTTGACCCTACTGTCCTTCACACTTGGGCCTTTCCAGTTGTTCCCTGCTTTCTTTCCCTCTAGCTTGACTTGAACCTGTCCTTTCTCTTTACTCCCCTCCTGCTTTCCTTCCAGACTTTAGACTAGCAAAACTCAGCCATTATCTTTTTTTTTTTTTTTTTTATCTCTAATGAACTTTGTATATCCACAGCTTGTTGGAACAACAGCAGCTCTTTGCCCCAACTTGTTCCTTCCCTAGGTGCCATCATGTTCTTTAGGAATTCACCTGCATACTAGAAAATATGCTAGTATTCCTATTCAGTTTTCTAGTTTGGGGCAATATTTCTTGCTTCCCACCAGGACAGATGAGGACTAGTTCTCTCTCATCTTTTTCTTTCTTTCTTTCTTTTTTTTTAAATACCTTTATTTTTCTTTATTTTTATGTGGTGCTGAGGATCGAGCCCAGGGTCTCGCACGTGTGAGGTGAATGCTCTACTGTGGAGCCACAACCCAGCCCATCTTTCATCTTTTTCTATGTCTCATTCTCACTAAATAGTATTTTTTATTAGATCAGCCACATAACTCAGACATGGGGACTGCTGTGTATAATTCCAGGGTTTGAGTTATTTTCTCTTTTCTAAACTCTGCTTTTCCTGGAGGTAACTTTTTTTTTTTTTTTTTTTTTTTTAATAGCTAGTAACTCAAGTTCTGTAGTTTCCTGCTGACAGTTGTTACTCTTAGGCCATTTAGACACAGAATGGGCTCCATCAGTTTTGGCTTCCTGCTTTCCCCAGCACTTGCTGTTGTCTCACTAGGGCTGAGCAGTCCTGGTATCACCATTCCCCACCATCTGGGGAGTCTGTCCACCTTTCTGCTGAGTCTTCCATGTCCCAGAGCCTCTTGTATTTTCATCTTGGTGGTTTACACTTTTCATTTTGGTGGAATACATCCTCCAATAGCTTCTGAAGAAAAGGGTCATGGGACAATAAGTTTTTTGAAGCCTCAAAGGACTGAAAATATCTTTATTCTCTTGATCCATGGCCTAACTAGGCTAGAGCTAGGTAAGAAGCAATCTTCCCCTAGGATTTTTTGTTTTGTTTTGTTATTGGTGGTGCTGGGGCTTGAACCTGAGTCCTCATTCATCTAGGCAAGTCCGCTACTGCTGAGCTACACCCTACCCCTTAAAAAAAAAAAAATCTGAGAGGGAATTAATTAAATTTGACTAATAAACTTCCTGGGCTGGTCTCAAACTTTGGATTCTCCTGCCTCAGCTTCCCAAGTAGCTGGGATCACAGGTGTGCACCACTGAGCCCACTTAGTTGTTTTGGATTATTTCCTTGGTGACTTTTTGCCTGTCCTATGTCATCATTTTATGGGAGTCTCACTGGTCCACAGTTGGGCCTCCTGGGCCATTCTCTGATTTTTTTCTCTTGTATTTTCTTATTGACTCAATTTTCTAGGTATTTCCTCAGCTTTTATCTTCCAGTTCTTCTCTTGGATTTCTTGCTTTGGTGCTCACATAATTTAAGCTTTGAAGAGCTTCTTCTGTCCCCCACCCCATGTTCCTTGTCTTAAATATTGTATTCTTGCTTCATGGACACATGACCGTTCATTGTCCAGAGGGTGTCAACAGCTCTTTCCTGTGTCCCTTGGTGTGACAGTGCCTGGCTCAGTTCTACTGTTGGCTGCCCCTTGTTGTCTTAGGGTGCTCTGAGGGCTGGGGATACCCACAGGTCAGGGTCCCCAAGGGTCCTGCCTCAGGCTTGTCAGAATGCCAAGGAAGCCTTGTTCTGCTCAGAGGAAACAGGCCTGCCTGGTGACTTGGCGAAAGTCTTTAGGATGTAAACTTCTACTTTCTTACTGATTTCTCTGCTGCTCCTTGACCTACCCTTTCCCAGAGGCCCTCTCTCAGCCAGGGACACCTGGGGCAGGTATTCTAGGGACCCAGCTGCTCTCAAACAAGACTCCTTTGTCAGTGCCTGCCCCCAACCCATTTCTTGAAACACCAGGCACTGAAGGGCCTGAGCCCGTGGTCCTCTCTCAGTCTGTGGCCCACCTATATCTGTCCAGGATCTGCATGTCTAACTTTCAGAGTCTGACTGCCTTTCTCTCTTCCTCTTTTTTTTTTTTTTAAATATTTATTTTTTGGTGTAGACTGACACAACACAATGCATTTTATTTTTATGTAGTGCTGAGGATTGAACCCGGGTCCCGCCCGTGCTAGGCGAGCAGCTCTACCACTGAGCCACAATCCCAGTCCCTCCCTCCCTCTTTCTCTTTAAGGTCTTTAAGGTTTGAGGTCTTTTTTTGGAGGTGGGAGTACTGGAAATTGAGCCTAGAGGAGCTCTAGCACTAAGCTATAACCCCACCCCCACCCCTTTTTAAATTTTGAGACAGGATCTTTCTAAGTGGTGCTCAAGGTCCTGAGTTTGATGTCCAGCATCAGAAAAAATCAATCAATCAATCAACCTTCACTTTTGTTTGGGGCAGCGAGTTCTGGGGAGGGTGCAGTTATCACTTTTGTTCAGCAGGGAGTCCTGAGGGAGTTGCAAGCAGCCTGCCACCCTTGCCCAGGGACCCTTGCAGAGCTGCAGGCTCTGGAAAGCCCTTGCCCACCTGGGAGAAACATGGCATGGGCTGAGTTGCCTGGCCTTTCAGCCTCTGAGATCAATTGTGAGCCTTGTCATTCCTCCCCAGTGCTATGACCTTTCTGATCAAGTGTGGCCTGGGCTGTGAGTGCTGAGCCCTGACTCTACCTGCWCTGAGCACTCTGGCCTTGCTGCTTGGACCTGCTCCTGCCTCCTGGCCTTGCTGCTCAGGAAGGTTATGGTCACTCTGTTGGGGCCTCTACTCCACTTACRTTCTAGCTACTGCTGGATGGAGGCCACCCTGAGGGCCAGAGCAGGTTGGCGCCACCTTTGGTGCCCCTGCTCCTGTCCTCGTGGCATGGAAGCTCTGTTGCCTCGGTCCTCTGGGCAGGCTGTCTGGTGTCCCCATTTGTAATTTCCTGCTCTTGACCATTGTGTGGGGCCTTTGGCCATCTTCTAGTTCCTGGGAGGGATGGCCAATGGGGCTGGGCTGGGCCAGGGCCCTGAACTCTACCTGAGATCTCTGGGTACAGGGCTATGGGGGGGCAGGGCTTTAACAGCTGGTTCCCCCCAGGTCCTTCCTCAGATCCCCGTGAAGAGTGGTGGTCCCCATGGGGCAGGGGTCCTCGGTGAGTGGCTGATCCCCTCGTGCCCCCACCCTGGGAGACCCCTACCCACCAGGTGCCCAGATGGGGAGGGAGGGAGGGTGTGCAGGCACAAGGGGTCGATGTGGGCTGTAGGATGGGGGTGCCTGCTGGAGTCACCCTCATTTCCTCCCTCTAGGGGTGCACCTAGAGGGCCCGTTCATCAGCCAGGAGAAGCGGGGTGCACACCCTGAGGCCCACCTCCGTTCTTTTGAGGCCCATGCCTTCCATGATGTGCTGGCCACCTATGGTCCCTTGGACAACGTTCGCATTGTGACACTGGCCCCTGAGCTGGGCCGCAGCCATGAAGTGATCCAGGCACTGACAGCCCAGGGCATCTGCGTTTCCCTAGGTGAGGGGCCGTCAGCAGGGGTGGGGTCTGCAGCTGGAGCAGAGTCTGAACTCAGGTCCCCTATGCAGGGCACTCAGTGGCTGACCTACAGKCTGCAGAGGAAGCAGTACAGAGTGGGGCCACCTTCATTACCCACCTCTTCAATGCCATGTTGCCTGTGAGTGCTGCCCTGGCTCCTGGAGGGGTGGGCTTTTGGCAGCCTCTGTCCTCACTCAGCCAGTCCCTCCTGTCCTGCTCAGTTCCACCACCGTGATCCTGGGATTGTGGGGCTCCTGACCAGTGACCGCCTGCCCCCTGGGCGCTGCATCTTCTATGGAATGATTGCCGATGGCATACACACCAATCCTGCAGCCCTACGCATTGCCTACCGGGCCCATCCCCACGGTGAGCCTCCATGGAGGAGGGGCAGTAGAAGTTAGTTGTTCAGCTTGCCCACCAGGCCCATCCCCAGGGTGAGTCTCCAGGGAGGAGGGGCATTGAAATCAGTTGTCCTGGTCCTGAAGCACTTCTCCTCCAGGGCTGGTGCTAGTCACTGATGCTGTCCCTGCCCTGGGCCTGGGCAATGGCCGTCATACACTGGGACAGCAGGATGTGGAAGTGGATGGGTTGACGGCCTATGTGGCAGGTGAGTGACTCCCATGCTCACAGAAAAGCAGCCCCTCAGCCTCTTGGGGGGGGGTGTGGAATTTGGGTATCCCCTGCTTGCCTTCTGGGCTCCCAGGCCCACAGTTCCCCTGGCCTCTCTGCTCTCAAGGCACCAAGACGCTGTGTGGCAGCATAGCACCAATGGATGTCTGCGTCCGGCATTTTCTGCAGGCCACAGGTTAGTGGGCCAGTGTGTCTCTGTGTCTAGGAACAGAGGCCACCTCTGGGAGGAACTAGGGTGGGGTGGGATTATGGGAATCCTGTTTCAACAATCTTCACCTGCCCATGTTGGGGTGGTGGTTTCCAGGGGATGGACTGGACACTGGAATGTGGCCAAGACTCTGCAGAGAGCTCATAAGCATGGTAGCATGGCTGCATGGTAGCAAGCAACAGGTTGATGGGCAATGAAACCACAGACCCTGGGAGGGGCAGGGCCCCCTATCCTACCTGCAGAAGGACCAAGGCTCCAGCCCTATGGGATGGGGGGCTTCTCAGGGACAGCACAGATGGACAGGTGGGATGGGGTGGGGCAGGATTGGCACTGCGGGCCCCTGGGATAGGTTGTGTGGTGCCCTTGCACAGCAGCAGATGAGGAGAGGCTAGATGCCATTCTGGAGGCGGTAGGCATCACAGTCCATTGTACTGTTTAAATCAGATGGGCTGACGACAAGGGACAGCAAGGGGACAGCCTAGGAGGCAGGACATGGCTGTGTCCTAGCCCCAGGACTGATCAGAGTGGTGGAGAAGTGAATATGGTCATTTGACCTCTTGGTTAGGGGAGCAGAGAGCAGAGCCCTGGGTGCCTGCTAGGCTGGTGACATAGTGGGCCCTGGTATCACTTCTTTGCATTTGGGGGTTCTCCCCAGGATTTAGGAGAAAGTGGAGGATCCTGTGGGCATGTGGGACCAGAGAGTGCTTTGTTAGGAGAAGAGAAACCCTGCAGGCAGGGATGGTGCCTGGGCTGAGGAAGAGAGGAGCAAGTACTGTTCCTAGAGCTGGGGTGGGGACTGGCTGTTAACATGTTGCAGAGTCCTGGGCTGTCCCCCCCTTGTCTCCAGGCCCTAAAATGGGAGCTTGGAACTGTGAGTAGGGGAGGGGCTGTGGGACATTACCATGATGTGTCCCAAACAGGCTGCAGTGTGGAGGCAGCCCTGGAGGCTGCATCCCTGCATCCCGCCCAACTGCTGGGGCTGGAGAAGAGCAAGGGGAGTCTGGACTTTGGTGCTGATGCAGGTGAGGCTCCACATAGGAGAGGCCCAGTAAAGGGCTGGGTCAGGGCCCAGGTGAGTGAGTGAGTCTTCCCGGTTTCTGGCTCCCTGGTGGCATTGCCTGCCATAGTCTCTCTCTGGCTGTCTATTCCTCTTGGCCAGGCTTTCTAGCATCCAAGATAAGGCCAGACCAGGGCTGCAGGGAGTTGTCCCTTGTCCCTGACTGTGAGGAGTTGGAYTCTTGGTTCTAGGCCTATGCCAGTCTGTGATGGTCAGGACATCCTGCATGAGTCATGTCCCTGGGCCTCAGCTTCCCCACTGGGTTCAATTGTGGGGGGAATGACTCCATATGGGGGGTTGGGGTGGTCCCATCCCATCCCTTCTTACCCTGTGGCTCTGCCCCAGACTTCGTGGTGCTCGACGACACCCTCCGTGTCCAGGCCACCTACATCTCTGGTGAGCTGGTGTGGCAAGCAGAGGAAGCCAGGCTATAACCAAGGACCTCAGCAGGAGAGGATGCCCAGCCCCAGCTGGACACTGACATGGCGGACAGTCGAGGGAGCTGGTCTCCAGAGAGCAAGTTGGGACCCCTCCTCCAGGTTGGCCCTTCCAGAGCCTCAAGTGGCCCTGGAGGCAGTGGCTCGGATAAATGTGTGGCCAGCAGGACTTGCCTTGTCTCTGGGTGTTGTTTTTGAAGCAGGGCTGCTGTCCTGGGGCCTCATTGAAAGTGTTTGTGTCTTGGGGCAGAAATGGTTGGATTCCTTGTGGGCCCCCTATTAGGCTGGACCTGTCTGAGGTCTATAAATCCACAGGAAGATAGAGTTCGAAGTGAGCAGGGAGTCCTTCAGTATGGCGGGTGGAATGGAATCATGGCCATGGTTGGAAGACTACAGGAAGGAGTTGGGGACACTGATGGTGGGTGGTTTTTAATGTTTAGTCACATTCCCTGAGCTGGGTGGGCAGAGGGGAGACCCAAGGCCCAGTTCTGGACGTGGGCACAGTTCCAGGCCCTCTGTTGAGACCTTCATGAGGGTGTCCACACTGGTCTTGGAACTCCAGGTCACCCAGCACTGAGTGCAGGAGGTAGTACCCAAGGGTCCCAATCCAGGCCAGGACCCCCAGCTAGCTGTTTATCCCTGGCCTGTTGACTTGCCCTGATCTCAGTCCCATCACCTAGCGCCCTTGTGCATAGTCATGGTTCTATGTTCTTTTACATCATAGCTCAGCAGCCCCACCTCCCCAACCTGCCCCTGGTGGGTTTGACAAGCCCTCCCCTTGCCCACCATAGTTTGGTGGCTATGGAGACCTGCCAGTGCTGTTGGGAAGCTCAGGGTCTCACCACTGTTCAGGGGCTCTTCAACTTATGCTTGCTTCTTTAATGTTGCTTGGGCAACACATTCCAGTGTTCTACTCCAACATATTCTTGGTCTTCCTCCATTAAAGTACCATGGGCCATCAGGCTCTTTGGATAGCTTCAAGGTGGGCAGGCTTTGGGGGCCCTCCTGGCTCTGAGGATGGCTGTGACACAGGGGGGTCAAGCCTGGGAGTAGTGTCTTGACTTTCTTCCTATTTGGGTCCTGGAGTAGGTGGCTCCACCCCCTTTTGTGTGATGAGATTATTCCTTGGTGCAAGAGAAAAATGTGCCAGGATGCTGTTGTATGTTGCTTCCAATAAAAGAAATGTCTCCAGGCCACAGCAACAAAACCACTCATGGGCTTTTACCTGGACTGTGGGCAAACATCCGGGGGAGAACAGCTGGTGGGATAGGGGTACATCAGGCCAGGTCTCAGCCTGTGTGTTCCTGGGTACACACCATCAGCCCAAGAATGTGAGTCTATGGGATCCCAACCTTCCAAGAGCTGCAGGTGCARGGATGCTTAGGTCTGTCCCATAGCCACACGCCTTTCAATATGTGGCTGGCTACCCCCTGCAATGTGTCCAGTGCTGGGAGACAGTTGTGAATGTGGGTCACGCTGGGCCTATCCAGCAGGGCTCATTATGGCCATGAGAGACAGGTGAGCTTGACCCTCACCTSGTTTCAGGCTTTGCTCTTAAATACTTTACTAGTGTTGAGTCATTTCCATCTTTCTGCCAGAAAACCAATGAGGAAGCTGGGTGTGATGGCTATAATCCTATAACCTATAATCCTAGCTACTGGGGGGTGGGGGCAGTGGTGAGGCAGCAGCACTGCAAATTTAAGGCCAGCSAGGGCAAATTAGAGAGACCCTGTCTCAAAAAATATAAAGGGTTGGGGATGTAGCGCAGTGGTACAGTGCCCCTGGGTTCACTTCTCAGTATTGGAGGGAAAAAAAAAAAAATCCAAGGAGGAGGCCTATTTGTCATTCTTGCTTCTCTCTTGGGGAAACTGGAGTACTGAGTCCTAGAGCTACAGAGTGGCTGGGGGCTGGAAATGTAGCTCAATGGTAGAGTCCTTTTCTAGCCAGGCCCTGGGTTTCATTCCCAGCATGGGGGACAGGGTAATTTAGCCCAGGCACACCCTGCTCCATTCCATCCAGCTGCCTCTCTGGATGAAGAGGAGGGAAGGGCTCCTTAGAGGGGTGGACAGTGGGTGTAACATTCAGATGATGGGAGCTACCTTTGCAGAAGAGTTTCAGGCAAAGCTAACTGTCCCAGCAAGGCCAGAGACACAGATGTGTGTGTGTTGGTGGAACAAAGACCGCCACTGCAGTCAATGGAGAGAGGTGCAAGCAGGGCTCTGGACCTGCCGTAGGAGTTTAGGTTTTATTTGAGGTGCAAGGGGAAATGCCACTGGGTTTTTAATTTTTAAAATTATGATAAAATGTAAAATGTACTTTTTTTTTCAGTACTGGGGATTAAACCCAGGAGTGCTCTATCACTGAGGGACACCCCTAGCTCCCCTTTTTTTGGTAACAGGGATTGAACCCAGGGGTGTTTTACCGCTGAGTTACATCCCCAGCCCTTTATTTAAGTTGCTGAGGCTGGTGAACTTGTGATCCTCCTGCCTCAGGCTCCAGAGTCACTTGGATTACAGGCGAGTTCCACCACATCTGGCAAGTTTACCATTCTGATCACTCGGAAATGTACAGTTCAGTGGCACTAAGCACATTCATATTGTGTGCAGCCATCACACCATTGTTCTCCAGGACTTACTTCTCCATCTTCCCAAAGGGTGACATCACTTTTGCCCCATCCGAAGCTCTGAGCTGGAGGGTTGTAAACGGAAGGGTGGGTTGCCGCTTAGGTCATCCTGGGGGTGCTGGGGGGCCGGGCTGCCCTGGCCGTGGGTGCCAGCGGTGCTGCCACAGGCTGTATGGTGGGTGTGGATTGGGGGACAGTGAGGCTGGTGTGCCCCCTGAGTCACAGTGGGGGCGGGGAGCCTGGTGGGTGGCAGAGCTGGTGTTTGTGAGACACCAGGCCTGTTGCTCTGTCTGTTGGCTGTGTGCAGCTGGAAGAGGTGCTTTGGTGAGTGTAGCCTGCAGGCACCACCCGGTGGCCTTCCAGAACACCCTCTAGGGCACGCAGGACTGAACCACCACAGGTTCAAGTCCTCATGCTGGAGACCCAGCCAAGCCCTTTTATCTCCAGGCCTCAAGGCTCCCAGGACCATTGGCATATGGTGGGGTGATTCGCAGGTCTCCCCGAGCCAGATAGCCCTGCTGGGGAGTGAAATATTAACCAAGCCAGGCAGCGGCAGCAGCAGCAGCAGCAGCAGCGGAAGAAAGCGGAGGGCCCCGCCCAGCAGTCCAGGAGGCCTGTTCTGTCCTGGGGGGGGCGCTGGAGGGGGGGCGGGGGGTGGGCACATGGACTCGCCCACCTTAGGAGGGCTGCTTCTGGTGGTCTCTGCTGGGGCCAATCACAGTGGCCAACCAAGAGGGAGTGTGCTCTGCTCAGGGCAGACTCTGCTGCACCCTGCTCATAGCACTTTGAGGATTCCCTGGGCCCCGCCCCAGCCTGTTCTTCCCTGACTGTGATTCTGGASTATGGGTGGACCAAGGGCACCTTTCCCCGCAGCCCACTCCAGACCTGGCCAGTCCCGTGGTCAGCCGCCAGGTGTGCCCCTTCCAACCTGATCCTGCGCCTTTTACCACAGTGTCACAGTTTATTACTAAGTGGTATTGCACTTTTGGTACTGCTTGGCAATTCTGTATTTTTAAAGTGAGCATGTGGAGAGCTTCCCAGATAGGAGGGCATGGATCTGTCTATTGTAAAAGGTGCCCGGGTCCTTTCTGTAAACATGGGTGTTCCGTGACCAGTTCTCACCGCACCCTTGCTAAGGATTGCCTGAGGGTGGGAATGGGCGTATCTGGGGATCCAGATACTCCAGGGCATTCCTCTTCCCTCTGTGACCTTCTTGTCCCCATGTGATCCCAAGAAGACCAGAGAACGGCCTTCTGCATGAATTTCCTGTTGCTGCTGTAACAAATCACCTCAAATCTGTTTAAAACAATTGGAACTTATGTTTTTATGGTTCTGGAGGCCCAYGTAGGAAATAGGTCTCATGGGCTGAAGTCAAGGCAGGTGCAAATCTGCAGAGGCTCCTGTTCTGCTTTGTTTCCTAGAGGCTGCTGACTCATTTTCTTTTGCAAAGCCAGCAGTGGCCAGCAAGCCTCCTTTTCTATGTTTAGAGACCCTTGTGATTATACTGGGCTCACTGGAGAACCCTGGCTAGTCTCCTTTTTTTTTTTTTTTTTTTTAGTTATACATGGATACAATATCTTTATTTTGTTTATTCATTTTCTTGTGGTGCTGAAGATCGAATCCAGTGCCTCACATGTGGGAGGCAAGCACTCTGCCACTGAGCCAGAACCCCAGCCCTAGTCTCCCATTTTTAAGGTCAGCAGAATAGCAGCCTTAATCCCCCCTTTTCTGTAGATCATGACATACTCACAGTGGTGGATCAGGTACTGAACATCCTTGGACAGACCATTATTCTGGAGAGAAGGACCCAGGCAGAAGTGTTCCTGCTCAGGTCTAAAAGAGATACTAGTTCCATCCCAGGTTTCAGCATCTAACATCACAAAAACGAGGTACCATATTTCTGTCATCAGTGCATGAAGGTTCCTTTTTCCCTACGTTCTTACCAATGGTGGATGTTTTCAAGTTTTGAGAGTTTAACCTGTTTTTGAATGAGCCCCATTTTATAGTTGGGAAATTTGAGGTTTGGGAGGGCAAGTTAGGAGACTGAGATCTCACAAAACTGCCTCTTTCCTGGCTGCCAGTCAAGCTTCTTTGCACTTCTTTGTCACAGTTAATAGGGGAAGATGTGAATTCACCTAGGTAGCTTGGAAACCACTGAATCCCTTTGTTATCTCTCATCCATCTATTCATCTGCAGCCATCAACAAATGCATATTGGGAGCCTTGGGCATGGTGAACAGAGACCAGGGGCAGAGGCTACTGTTTGAAAAGCCCTTTCCCCTCACCTGCCTGTACCTTAACTGGTCTTTTTGCCTCCCTATTTGCCCCCTGTGATCCTTTCCCCAGACCCTGCCAAGCAGGTGCAGGAGAGTCTAAAATATAAATCAGCTGGGCTCTGCCTGGTGCAGCTCTTCATTGGCTTGATACTTAAGTGCTTGCAAAATCTGTGGGGTGTGGACCTACCTTCCCCTTTCTCCTGTGTCTGCATGAATGCTAGTAGTTGTCCTGCCCTTGGCTATTGGTGGTAGCTGGCTTTGAAGGTGGCCCCCCACATGATGTCCTTCCTGATGATGGATATGGGTTATAAAAACCACCATGGCTGGGCACAGTGGTGCACAACTGTTTTTTTTTTTTAAAGAGAGAGTGAGAGAGAAGAGAGAGAGAAAGAATTTTTTTTTTTAAGAGAGAGAGAGAGAATTTTTAATATTTATTTTTTAGTTCTCGGCGGACACAACATCTTTGTTGGTATGTGGTGCTGAGGATCGAACCCGGGCCGCACGCATGCCAGGCTAGCGCGCTACCGCTGAGCCATATCTCCAGCCCCCAGTGGTGCACAACTGTAATCCTAGCTACTTGGGAGGCTTAGGCAGGGGAATTGCAAGTTCCAGGCTACCCTGGGCAACTTAGTGAGGCTGTAAGCAACTTAGCAAGACTCCAAAAATGGGGGAGAGTACTCTTGCGTTCAATCCCCAGTACCTCCTCTCCCTGCTAGAACAAAGAAAACAAACTAAAAAACCCTTAGCTTCCAGCTTGGGTCTGATGGTTTTCTCTTGAACCACTTACTCTAGGGAGAGCCAGCTGCCACAGCATGAAGACATTCAGCTCTGTAGAGCAGCTCACATGATACAGAGACTTCCAGCCCACTGCTGTAGGAATGAGACTTTTTGGAAGTGGGTCCTCCAGGTTTGCTCAAGCCTTCAGATGCCTGAACCAGACCGCCCAGCTGCTGGTTCCCTCCCCGGCTTCAGACTCCCAGAAACTATGAGACAATGCACCTCTATTGTTTGGGGAAAATTTGTTACATAGTAGTAGGTATCTAATACCCTAGCTGTGAGACATTGGGTTAGGTTCCTAATTTCTGAACCCCGTTTCTCCCCTTGTGCTGCAAACGTTATGGGAATAAGTGAGGAGGAATACACGATGCAGCACAGGCCAAGTGCAGCCAGCACATCGGGCATCCTCACTGCCCCCTCATGGTTGGCTCCCAACATCCATGACCTCTCAATGTCAAACCAAGCCCCTGGATGCTTGGCTCAAGACACCCTTCAGCTATGGACAGAGGCAT